AAGAGGGTTTCTAAGAATCTTAGTCAATATTTGCTGGCCGTCCAGAGACAGGGAAGCACAGTCAGCATCACTCCAGTCCAGAGTATGGCAAGGAGGCCCCGGGAAGGGACAGAGCCCTGCCCTCAGAGTTAGGCTGGGCTTGAGTCCTGGCTCTGAGTCTCGAAAGAAGCCTCTTTGCCGCTGAATCTCAGTGTCTTCCTCTTTCTTTTGTAAGGAATAACTGGGACAAGCACTTCATGTGAAAGCACTTCGTGAACTTAGAAAGGGCCATGCACCTGTGTAATAATAGTGTTTTAAATGGTGTTGATACTTTTTGAGAGTTGAAGCCATTCACAGGGCTCAAGGACCTCCTGTGACCTGCTCCTGTGCTGCCACCTGCTGGCCAGTATCTGCAATGGCAGCCTAAGCCCTCAAGCCCTACCGAACCTCCCGCGGAGAGATCTAGGAAACTGCTCTCTGAGGTGTGTGAAGGCGGAGCCGGAAGGAGGCTTGGCGCTAACCTTTGCGGGGTCCAGGACAAGAGTGAAAAAGGAACCCCCCAGGCCATTCTGCAGCCTGTCCCCTTGTCTTCTCAGCCTTGGCCTTGCTTTCACTGCAGAGGTGTTCGTGTGTGTGCATGGGGCACACTCTCCCCGGCCATGTTCACACCAGCAGTGAGGACAGACCTGGAATGTGACAGGTGCAGGCCCTGGGCAAGGAACTCGAGAGGCCTGGACACACAGATCATGGTCTGGAGGTGGGTGTGGGCTCCATGGTCACATTTCCTTGGTCTGGGCCTCTTGGGTGAGGGCATGGCTTAGGGTGACTGGTTCATCCTGGTTTTAGCACTAAAAGTCCCCTGTGAGCAGACCAGGGCTATTAGCGACCCTAACATGGCCCAGCAAAGGTCATAGCTTCTGGGCATCACCACTCTCGCTAGGCCTGGTCAGAGGTGAGTAGTTTGGGCTCAGAGAACCAAACTGGCCTCCCTTCCACACCCCTCTCTCCAATGCCAAGGCCCCTGACCCAGGCACTTGGTCCACAAGTACTTTTATGGGTAAAGAGGCTCATCTTCCCCTTCTTCCTTCTCCAAACCACTCTCCCACTCTCCAGGTGCTCTGAGGCTGAAGGTTTGTCTGAAGGCTCAGTGGCTGAGAGAAGAGAATGCGGGGAGGTTCTCCTGGAAGAACCCCCTCATTGTACAAGGGAAACTGAAGCCTTGAGGAGAAGGTCCTCGCCGCAAAGCCCCTGAGGGAGACTTCTGCTGTTGACTGTTTATGGCAACCTGTATTCATTCCCTTTCCTCTTGTTCAGGGGACCCCCAGGTGCTGCCCAGGAAGCTGACCCCATCCCTGGCTCTGAGGGTGGGGCATGTGGTCCTGGTATAATCCCACAGTGATTGGCTCAGCCTTGATCATGTGACCTAAGTTGATCCAATCAAAACAAACACCAGGTCTTTTATTTTGCAGCTGGTGGGGAGGAATCTAGAAGGGGAGGGGGATAAAAGCCTCCCAGTACCTGTACAGGACCAAGACAGAGAGCCATCATATGCACGGAAGTTTGTAGCTATTTATTGCACTGAAAACACCAAGAATAAAACAGATGCCCCTTCTCCCCCACCCAGCCCCCCAATAGCAGAAAGTTTGAGCAGTGGTCATTCAGGTTCACAGCCACATATTTTTTTTTTTAAAAAAAAGGAACTGAAACAAAACCCCAGACAAACAGTAACAAAGAACCAGCATAGGAAGTCTGGCAAATACATCCCCACAAAGGGTCTCCCTTTGAAGGGAGACAGGAGGCCAGGGGTCAGGATGTGCCGCACGATGGGCACAATCCCAGGAGAATACTTTCCCGTAAACACATTTGCAGGCCCGAGCCTAGGTTTTTGCTTGGATTTGGATTTTTTGCGTCTAACGGATGTTTTGGAGGAGCACAGGGTTTGTCTGGTTAGGGTGGGCTCTGGGTGGCTTTTTCTGCCAGTGTCACCTGCCTGCTGCCTCCAGGTAATGCCCAGTGTCCTGTGGTCTACACCAGGTGGCTGCCCACCCACAGGAGTGGCCTTCACAGTGGGGCCATCTCAGCCTGGGGTAGGGATCTGCCTCCATCTCTCTGGCACTTGGAGAAAAAAGAGGAAGAGAGGGACACAGCGGACAGGAGGTGTGTCACCCAATGAAAAGAGGACCTTGGGGTCCTCCAGCTCAGTTTCCTCTGGTGGGAAAACCAAGGCCCAGAGAGGGGAAAGGACCTGGCCAAGGTCACATAGCTGGGATTTGAAGCCTACTAACCCCCAAGCCACTGCTCTCTCCCCTGTAGTCCACTGCTGATAAGCAGTTGACAAGCACCAAAGAGGGGGAACAAGGGGCCACAGGTGGGAGAGAGAAGGGGGGACTGGCCAGGCCCAGAGTGAAACAGGGGTCCAGGCAGAGGCCAACCCTGTAACTCCCACAGGTGTATTGGGCTTCACACCATTAGGCTGTTTGATCTCCCGTCAGCCCTGCAATGTAGGTTGGGTAGGAACCTTCAACCTTTTTAACTGATAGGGAGACTGAGGCTGAAAGGGGTGACTAGGCCTTGCTACGGTAACTGCAGCATCCCCTGGGAGGGCCACACCCCACTTTTGGCCTGGGGGTGGCTGTGGGGAGCTGAGGGCACACAAGCGAGCAGGTGGTTGTAGGCTGGGACACTGGGATCACTGGGCTTTACTGGGAAGCCCTCTGGGCCCAAGGCAGACCAAGTGCCCACCCCTGGGCCTGGGCAGCAGGGTCTCTGTCAAGGACAGAAGCTGGTGAGGGTCCAGCTTGGAAATCAGGGGGCCTGGGCAGCTTCCTTCTGGCCTGTAGTCCCGGCCCAGCCTGTGTGACCTGCCCCCTCACTTCCTTGGCCCAGGCAGCAGGAGTTCAGAAAGCACCCAGCAGAAAACTTGGAAAGTTCTGGATCAAATATCCTCATCAGTCCTGCTCCAACCAACACCCCCTGGGGATTCTCTGGAGGGTTCGGGGAACCAGAGCCTCCTCCAAATCCCTGGGGATGTGACTCTTCCTCCCCTAAAATCCTCCAGAGGGGACAGTATCTCATGCTGGCAAAACACGGCCACACAGAGGCCAAAAGCACAGAGAGGCAGCAACATAATCCCGAGTCAGACACTGAGAATACAACCTCTATTTTTTTTTTGTCCAAAACATAAAGATTGATTTTGTTGAGTGCTTTTTCTTCTTCTCATTTTTGTTTTTTTCAACATACTGCATATAAAGTCATGCAAAGAAAACAGTGCAGACAGTAGGTCCTGGTGGATGCACCAAAGCATTCCACATCAGAGTCACTCCCAGGGGAGAGGGGAAGAGAAGGGAGAAGAGAGAGCGAGAATGGAAACCCAAAGCTCAGGATGAGGCATGGAGCAGAGAAATTCCCAGTGTCTGCTTTGGCTGTCAGACCCCAAGGGGAACACAACCTTCATGGTCCCCCAGAGGTGGGCAGGGGACATGGGGGACAAGCAGATGTCATGGGGGATGAAACCTTGGGAAGCTTGGTTTGGGAGGGAAGCAAAGAAAAGTCCAGATAATTCCATCCTGACAACCTCCCCACTCTCTCCGTGCTGACTAGCTGTTTCTTAAACAGCAGTGACATCTGATGCTTCCACAGTCCCCAAAGGAACCCCTATGTCAGCTCGCTTGGGACCAAAACGTCGGAGAGGTCCTTCTCCATGGGGCTAAGTCTACCTCAGCCCCACATATCCACTGGTGACAAAGTCCACCTCAGAGATGACCAAAAAAATAAAAAAATTAAAAAAAAATAGGAGATACCGAAGAGAACTCACCTCTCTTCCCACCCCCCCTTCCCAGCCCAACCCTCCTCACCATAATTGGAGAGGTCTAATTATTACATAAATATCCATTAATGCGAAATCCATTTACGAAATACACGGAAGTTTGGCTAGAAAAAGGCATGCGGTCCAAGTAGAAGTGATACCTAAAGGTTGCTTTCTTTAGCCCCCGAGAAACAATCAGATTCCCTCTCTCAGATTCGAAGGTGCTGGAATTCTCCACAGATGACAGGAGGGTGGCGGGGCAGGTTAAGTGTTGGAGGTGAACATCACCAGAAGGAAGGGCGGGGGAGTGGGCCAACCTGAGAGGATATGCTCCCCACACTGAGGGGAACAGTCAGAAAGAGAAACTCCTGGGTCAGCAGAAGACCGAGAGGTCAGGGCAGGGGAGAGGGGAGCTATTGAAGAAGTTTGAGGCTTGAGGCTCCTGATATCTGGTGCAGGGGAGGTTGGCTCAGGGAGGTAGGGGGTTCTACCCTTCCCCCTGGAGCCCTGGAAGAGGAAGGGTCTAGGAGAGGGACTGGCAGATGCTGCAGTCCACACAACTCCGCCCCTCCTTCTCCCCACCCCCTGGTCCTAGCCTACAGCCTGGTGGGGTGGTCCTGGGAGCCAGCCCCCTGGCACTCAGGCCTGGGGAAGCCCACCCTGGCAGGGGAAGCCATGAGGAAAAGTTGGTGGGAGAAGGCAAGCGAGAGGGAGAGGTGGGGCAGGGCATGGTGGGGGATGTGGCCATTTGCTCTGAAGTTGTGATGGCTTTTGTGAACAGGCAGGTTTTCTTGATGCAGGTACAGAGGTGACGATGTGGTGGTGGGGTGATGTGGTGAGGCGAATTCCAGCAAAATCCAAGTGGGAGAACCAGCAGCCACATTCCACAGACAAGAAGTGGGTCCCCGTGACACAGCAACGCAGTGACCCCCGGCTCGGTCCTTCAACTGTAAGACATGATGGGGACAGTGGGCACTGTGTTTTTGCTTGGGTGACCCTTCCCCACCTCTTTCGATGCAGTTCCAGCTGCCTCCCTGTGGGTCCTGCCCATCTCCACCCCCCTCACCTGCTGGCCCCAGGCTCGGCCTCCTCCCTGCACTCCCACCTTCGCACCTTTTAAAAGTCCCCCAGATTTGTTCCTGCTGCAGGCCAACCCCTCCATTCCATGGCATTGCCCTGTGGCTGGGATGCAGGCAGGACAGAGGGGCAGAGGCCCTTACTGCGGGAGGACAGAGGGCGCCCCAGATCTGTGGAAGTGGACGATCTGCCATTTGCCGTCCCGGCGGTGCCAGATGCGGGTCTCCTCGGACTGGGCCGTGCGGGGGATGCCGCTGGCGTCCAGGTACTGCGTGATGCGAATGTAGGCGATGCAGGCCGACTCATCGCCCATCAGGTGGATGTGGGGGTTCAGGATGGTGGTGTGCACAGGCTTGCTGTTCCGGGACCACACTGGAGATGAGGCAGGAGGAGAGGGTGTGAGAGGGAGCAGAGGAGATGTGACTGGGGGCCTCCTCCTCACTTCCTTCACATTCCCCACTCCCAAGGACCCTCTCAACTGAGGCACTTCTGAGGTTTTCAAATGAGGGTCTCTGTGACAGGGGTCAGGTACCTGGCAGCCAAGGCAGAACTTCCAGGTGATGGGACTTCCCATCCCACCTTAGATAATGATGGATTTCAGACAACTTGACTTCTTCAAACTTAACCAGTAACCAGTTGCCATAGAGTCGACTCCAACTCATGGTGACCCCATGTGTGTCAGAGTAGAACTGTGCTCCATAGGGTTTTCAAGGGCAGAGTTTTTGGAAGTAGATGGCCAGGACTTTCTTCCGAGGTACCTCTGGGTGGACTCAAACCTCTAACCTTTCTGATTAGCAGCTGAGCACATTTAACCCTTTGCACTACCCAGGGACTCCTCTTCAATCTGATGAGAATGGAATTTTAGAGTCGTTGTATCTCACACACAGAAGTATAGGACCAAGATGATTTCAGAATCATATGAGCTTAGTTAGACCACAGTCTCAAGCACAAATCTCTATAGCAGGCAAGCAGATACATAAACAAGGAAGATAAGCTGGGTGTAAGATGTTAAATGACAGCCGACCCTTTGCCTCTGAGTTAGGGAGGCAATAGACAGTGGTGGGGATTGTGATGACTAGAGCACCATGTCCCATCTAAAGAGGGTGCCTTGTGCACAGCCTCCTAGTGGTTGCTCTGTGAGTAAGTGGGACTGGTATTGCCAGACCTTCTGATTTTCAAGAAAATCTGGAAATTTTTGGATTTTTATGCGAAACCCTTCATTTTAATTATGGGCATCTAATTTGAATTTACCAGCAGCCATCTGTCAGTTTGTCGAACTGTGGTGGTTTGTGTGTTGCTGTGATGCTGAAAGCTACGCCACTGGTATTTCAAATACCAGCAGCGTCATCCATGGTGGACAGGTTTCAGCTGAGCTTCCAGACTAAGACAGACTAGGAAGAAGGACTTGGCAATCTACTTCTGAAAAAACTGGCCATCGAAAACTTGAATAGCAAAGTAATATTGTCTGCTGGAATATAGTGCTGGAAGATGAGCCCCTCAGGTTGGAAGGCACTCAGAATATGACTGGAGAAGAGCTGTCTCCTCAAAGTAGAGTTGACCTTAAGACGTGGATGAAATAAAGCTTTCGGGACCTTCATTGGCTAATGTGACACAACTCAAAATGAGAAGAAACAGCTGCGAACATCCATTAATAACTCGAACGTGGAATGTACGAAGTATAAATCTAGGAAAAATGGAAGTCGTCAAAAATGAAATGGAACACGTAAAGATCGATATCCTAGGCATTAGTGGGCTGAAATGGACTGATATTGGCCATCTTGAATCAAACAATCATATGGTCTACTTGCCAGGAATGACAAATTGAAGAGGAATGGTGTTACATTCATTGTAAAAAAGAACATTTCAAGATCTATCCTGAAGTACAACGCTGTCAGTGATAGGATAATATCCATACGACTATAACGAAAATCAGTTAATACAACTATTTATTCAAATTTATGCACCAACCACTAATGCCAAAGATGAAGAAATGGAAGATTTTTACCAACCTTTGCAGTTTGAAATTGATTAAACATGCAGTCAAGATTCAATAATAATTACTGGTGATTGGAATGTGAAAGTTGGAAACAAAGAAGGATCAGTAGTTGGAAAATATAGCCTTGGTGATAGAAATGACAAGGGAGATCACATGACAGAATTTTGCAAGACCAACGACCTATTCATTGGAAATACTTTTTTAAACAACATAAATGGCAACAATACACATGGACCTTACCAGGTGGAAAACACAGGAATCAAATCAACTACATCTGTGGAAAGAGACAATGGAGAAACTCAATATCATCAGTCAGAACAAGGGCAGGGACTGGCTGTGCAACAGGCCATCAATTGCTCATATGCAAGTTCAAGTTGAAGCTGAAGAGAATTAAAAGAAGTCCAGGAGAGCCAAAGTACGACCTTGAGTATATCCTACCTGAGTTTAGAGACAATCTCGAGAATAGATTTGACGCATTGAACACTAATGACTGAAGACCAAACGACTTGTGGGATGACATCAAGGACATCATACATGAAGAAAGCAAAAGACCATTAAAAAGATGGGAAAGAAACAAAAGACCAAAATGGATATCAGAAGAGACTCTGAAACTTGCTTGTGAATGTACAGTAGCTAAAGTGAACAGAAGAAATGATGAAGTAAAAGAGCTGAACAGAAGATTTTAAAGAGTGGCTCAAGAAGACAAAGTAAAGAAAGTATTGCAATGAAATGTGCAAAGATCTGGAGTTAGAAAACCAAAAGAGAAGAACGTGCTCAGCATTTCTCAAACTGAACGAACTGAAGATAAAATCCAAGCATTGAGTTGGAATATTGAAGGATTCCATGGGCTAAATATTGAACAACGAAGGAAGCATCAAAAGAAGATGGAAGGAATACACAGAGTCACTGTACCAAAAAGAATTGGTCAAAGTTCAGGCATTTCAAGAAGTAGCATATGATCAAGAACCAATGGTATTGAAGGAAGAAGTCCAAGTTGCACCGAAGGCATTTGCAAAAAACAGGGTTCCAGGAATTGCCGGAATACCAACTGAGATGTTTCAAAACAAATAGATGCAACAGTGGAACTCTTTGCCAAGAAATTTGGAAAACAGCTACGTGGCCAACCGTCTGGAAGAGATCCATATACGTGCCCGTTCCAAAGAAAGGTGATTCAAAAGAATGTGGAAATTATCGAATAATATCATTAATATCACATGCAAATAAAATTTTGCTGAAGATAATTCAAAAACAGTTGCAACAGTACATCAACAGGGAACTGACAGAAATTCAAGCCAGATTCAGAAGAGGACTTGGAGCAAGGGATATCATTGCTGATGTCAGATGGATCTTGGTTGAAAGCAGAGAATACCAGAAAGATGTTTATCTGTGTTTTATTGACTATGCAAAGGTATTCAACTGTGTGGATCATAACAAATCATGAATAAGATTGCGAAGAATGGGTATTTCAGAATACTTAATTGTGTTCATGCAGAACCTGTACATAGACCAAGAGGCAGCTGTTCGAACAGAACAAGGGGATAGTATGTGGTTTAAAATCAGGAAAGGTAGGTGTCAGGGTTGTATACTTTCACCATACTTATTCCATCTGTATGCTGAACAAATAATCTTAGAAGCTGGACTATGTGAGGAAGAATGGGGCATCAGGATTGGAGGAAGACTCATTAACAATCTGCAATATGCAGATGACACAACCTTGCTTGCTGAAAGTGAAGAGGACTTGAAGCTTTTACTGATGAAGATCAAGGACCACAGCTTCAGTATGGATTACGCCTCAACATAAAGAAAACAAAAATCCTCACCACTAGACCAATAAGCAACGTCGTGATAAACAGAGAAAAGATTGAAGTTGTCAAGGATTTCATTTTACTTGGCTCTACAATCAATGCCCATGGAAGCAGCAGTCAAGAAATCAAACAACACATTGCATTGGACAAATCTGCCACGAAAGACCTCTTTGAAGTGTTAAAAAGCACAGATGTCACTTTGAGGAGTAAGGTGCGCCTGACCCAAGCCATGATGTTTTCAATCACCTCATATGCATGCGAAAGGTAGACAATGAATAAAGAAGACCAAAGAAGAATTGATGCCTTTGAATTATGGAGTTGGCGAAGAATATTGAAATACCATGGACTGCAAGAAGAAGGAACAAATCTGTTTTGGAAGAAGTACAGCCAGAATGATCCTTAGAAGGGAGCATAGCAAGACTTTGTCTCACATACTTTGGACATATTTTATCAGGAGGGACCAGTCCCTGGAGAAGGACATCATCCTTGGTAAAGTAGAGGGTCAGCGAAAGAGAGGAAGACTCTCAATGAGATGGACTGACACAGTGGCTGCAACAAGGGGCTCAAACATAGCAACGATTGTGAGGATGGCACAGACTGAGCAGTGTTTTGTTCTGTTGTATGTGGGGTCGCTATGAGTCACAACTGACCCTCTGGCACCCAACAACAATAACAACAACAATTTGAATTTATGGAACCCTGGTGGCACAGTGGTTAAGCACTCAGCTGCTAGCTGAAAGGTTGGTGGTTCAAACCCACCAGCTGCTCCACGTGATAAAGATGTGGCAGTCTGCTTCCGTAATGATTACAGCCTTGGAAACCCCATGGGGCAGTTGTACTCTGTCGTATAGCGTCACGATGAGTTGTCATCTACTCAATGGCAACGGGTACAGGTAATTTGAATTTAAAGCATCATGCAGGCCACATGAGCATGTCTACAGTACAGATATAGTCTATGGGCCCACATTTGCTACCTTAACTGTAGACACAGAATTATGAAAACCTGGGGAATACTAGAATTGTAGAATCTTAGAAGCTTGGAATTAGAAGGATGGTATTAGTGGTCGTGGGGTGAGGTCACAGAGCTTTCCAGTGTTGAGGGGAAATGCATAGCTCTTGCAGTCATGACAGAATTGACGAAACTATCTGAAATCAGCTCCCTTGATATAAACTGTGAGCCATCATTTTTGCTGTTGTTCTGAGAACTTTCAATTTTTCATTAAGATAGAAAACAAAAACACAGAAAGACTATGCCCTAGGGAGGGGCTGGACAGGGGCTATGAGGGCCTCAGGCTTAGGAGAAACCCTCATAGCTTCCCTTAACCCATTGCCGTCAAGTTGGTTCCAACTTATAGGCACCCTATAGGACAGAGTAGAACTGCCCCACAGGGTTTCCAAGGCTGTAATCTTTACAGAAGCAGACTGCCACATCTCTCTCCTGCAGAGTGGCTGGTGGGTTCAAACGGCTGACCTTTCAGTTAGCAGCCGAGCACTTAACCATTGTGCCACCAGGGGTCCCTTAGTGTAGCCCAAACATAGATCTGAAACATGTGGAGAGCTGGTTTAAAATGCAGATTCCCCAGCCTCACCCCTAGAGATTCTAGTGCAAGAATCTGTAAAATTGAAAAACTCTCTTCCCCCTCTACCCCAATTCTGACACAGTCAGGTTTGTTAGCCATTGATTTCCTGAAAAATGTAAAAACAAATTTTTTTCAGATCTGTAGAAAGTATTAAATAGCACCTGCCCCCTAACATGCTACACCCAGGCTTTGGATAAAGGACTCAAAATCACCAAGTCTTGGACATGGTAGAATAACATACATAGAATTCTGGACTCTCAGATGTATAGGATGTAGAGCTTTTTCATCATGGGCTGGGAGTGACCTCAGAGGTTAGAGGTCATACAGAGACCCTCCTACAAAATGCAGGAAGGCCTTTGTAAGCATTCCCGACAGCATCTAGGGCTGGAGGCACTCAAGACCATCTATATCAATGTACCCATTTAGCAGATATGGAAACTGAGGTCCAGAGAAGCAGTCTGACCTGTTCCAGATCATACACAACACCTGTGCCTAAGCTGGGCCCATTCCTGAAAGAAATGCAGTTGAACCTAGAAGGAACCTGTCTCTAGGTGGAACGGACTAAGAACAATCCCAGGAGGAGCAGACACAGCTCAGCATTGTTGGGGGGACTGGACCTTGTTGTTGTCAGTGAGGGCTGGAGGCCTGAGGGACATTTGTAAAGAAACAACCACCTAATGTCACTGCTTCTTGCATACTTCTAATAGGATTCTCCTTGTGGACAAGATGGCAGAAAGAGCCAGGTTCTCAAGCAGGAAAAATCAGAAAGCTGGAAGGTGGGACTTGGAGGAGAGGGCAGTTTCCTCTGGGTCTTGTTCCCATGGTCCTGCCTTTGGTGTGACCAGATGGTAGAGTGCAGAGTCCAGGGGGCTGGTGCTAAGCGGAGCCCACCGCATGGAGCAGGACTGGGGCCGGCCAGCATGGCCTTCTCTCTGGTTATTCCCCTTTGTCTCCCTGAGCCTGTGGAGCCAGGTCTTTGCCTGGTCTCTGCTCGGTGGGCATCAGTGAGTTCCTACTGGGGAATTAGCTCCCCTAAAGGACCGACCAGCATAATGGTGGTCACAGAGGTGAGCAAGGGAGCTCCAGGGTGATAAGGACTGTTGGGGTTCAGCCACCTCTCCTCCCAAGGAGAATACAATCGCCATTGCTAAGTTTGGAGAATCAGAGTTTGGTTTATTAAATGAAGATGCAGCTTCCTTCCTCGCAGTTCTTTTGGGCGTGCTATTCAGCCTCTGTACTTCATAATACTCAGTCAGAGAGCGTGCAGGTCAAGGAGGAGGGCCCATCCCAGCTGAGGGTTGTTAGCGTGCAGATGGCCCAGTGGGGAAAGGAAGGGACGCTGGAGGGAGTCAGATCTAGGTTCTGCTACCCATTTCTCAGGTGCCTTTGGATAAGTCCTTTCCTCTCTCTGGGCCTCAGTTTCCCCTTCTGTATGATGAAGAGTTGGACTAGCTTAACTCCCTCTACCTTAGTCATTCAAATTATGCCTTTATGATGTTTACCATATATACAAGTGCCACGTGTACTAACGGCATTAAAATATTTCCTTAACTTCACTCACTTTGTTACTTTATATGAACTTATTTTAATGAAAACTTTCTAGCACCGTCATTAATGAACCACCAGTATCACAGAAGAAAAATTTTAGTAAGTCCAGTGAAAACAAAATAGAGTTATGTAATTCTATCTCCATGCTTTTGCCTTCAATGGATCTAAGCCCAAGACTTTCTCTCTTGGATAGAGAGATTGGGACATATCAAACCCATTGCGGTTGAGTCAATTCCAACTCATAATGACCCTATAGGACACAGTAGAACTGCCTCATAGGGTTTCCAAGGTTGTAAATCTTTATGGAAGCAGACTGCCACATCTCTCTCCTACAGACTGGCTGGTGGATTTGAACCACTGAACTTTTGGTTAGCAGCTGAGCACTTAACCATTGCGCCACCAGTGCTTGGGAAGTATCAGAGAGGTGCTAAAGCCAGGCTAGCACCCAACTGAGCCTTTCCTCTTGATGTAGCTGGAAGTATTGAGAGAGAATAAAAAAGGGAACAACTTTCTAACTGTGAACTAACGCTGTTGCATGGGGTGCCAGTATACATCCCAAATCATCTTGTGTGGCCTCAGTGGTGCATGTCTTCACTTTGGGGGACCCTGACTATACCACCAGGGCCTTCTTCCTGTCCTGAGCTCTATGGTTTTAACCTGCATGTGCTTTGGTTGGTCCCTGTCTGATCCCTGGCCAAGGTCAGATGCAGACAAAGGCAGAAAGCGCCCCAGGTCAGGCCCAGCCTCAGCCCCCTGACAGCCCCTGGTTGCAAAGCTGCCAAGGCTTCTTCTGCAGAGAGAGGCCCAGGAAGGGCAGACATGCAGGACAGAGACCTAGACAAACAGGCAGGGCACAGCAGTGTGAGCTTGGGGGCCTCTCCTTTTCCTCCAATCTCCCACCCACAGAGGACACTTGTATAACAAGCCCTGAGTCAGCCTGTGACCAGCCAGGCTGCTGGAATGGCCCCAGGTGTCAAGTGACATAACTTGGGTATATGAGCATGGTGAGAAGGCTCCTTTATCTATAAAATGGGAATAAAGCCCTTCCTCAGGCCCCTCCCAGGATGGTGGGCAGGAGAGGGCTGGGAGGGCTTGTCACAATTATCGCAGGTCTCTGGTGCCCCCTTTACCCCATCCTCAGCTGCAGGAGAGGCAGCTGGCAGCCTAACAGGCCAGAGTTAGGAGAGGGAGCCAAGATGGTACCCACCCCTGTCCACACGGGGTCTTCCGCTTCATGGGGTCCTGAGCTGCCCCTGGGGCCCTGCCCATCACCCTGCTGTGCCATCCAGCAGGACATGGAATGAGAGCAGACAACAGGTACCCCAGAGAGAAGGGATTGCTCACGGTTTTCAAAATAGAATCGATGGAAGTCCAGGCCTTCCACCAGGTTCCCCAGAGCCTCGGGTTCAAAGGCTGTCATTCCAGGGTCGCACATCTTTCTGGGGTAAGGAAGACAAACAGGGGTTGAGGTCCCTTCTCAGGGCACCCTCTGATCCCAGGGGCCTGGAGGGGAAGAGAGCTGGGCCGTCCTAGGCTGAGCCTATGGAATAGAATGGATTGGACTTACCTCACAGGATCAATTATGTTGGTGTGTGGGAAGGAGCCTACAAACTGTAAAGTGTGAGGCATCGCTGACTGGTGGGTGCTGTTTAGAACTGAAAAGCCTGGTTCAGGTCCTGGCTCTGCCATTTACCGATTAGGAGACCTCGAGCAAGGGGCGTAACGTCTCTAAGCAAGAGCACCATGAATGGTTGTGCAAAGTTGTGCAATGCCAAGCAGCCAGGTGGGAATGAAATTCAGCCTGTCTCTCCTCCCCAGTCTGCACTCCCGGCCCAGACTGTGGGATGCAGAAGGACCTTCTTCCTAATTTGTTTCCCCAGAGGGGGCGCCTTTTCCTTCACATAAAGGTGACTTTTGCTCAGCAAGCCAGGTGTATACCCGGAGGGGGTGCCTTTTGCTAATCTGAACAAAGGTGCCCTATTGTCAGCAACAGCCGTGACTGTGAACCTCAGTTTTCTCTTCTGTAAGATGAGGAAAGATCATTGACTGAGATTGTGCTGGGAGGAGTGATCAGGGCGTGGTCCTGGAGGCACTCCGTAATGGAGGTATTGAACTTTCAGCCCATTGGCCCCTTCCAACTCTCCTTCCAAGTCTGCTGGGAGACCAGATGGCCAGAAGCGGGAAGGGGAAAAACAATCTCTGCTGTCCCAAGTCTCTGGGGTCTTCTGCAGCACAAGATGGGCCCTTGTGACCATGGCAATGAAGCCATGGACAGGATAGGTCCCAAGGCAAGCAAGGTCCCAAACTGGGTGGAGCTGGAGATGCTGGGAAGAGGGTGTCAGGCCAGCACTGTCTGAGCTGGGCACTGGGTACATAAGAGACAAAGGGAGGTGAAACCCTGCTCCATCCTGACTGTCCCTATGATCCCAGACAACTTGCTTCTCCACTCAGGAGCTCAAATTCTCCAGATGGATGAAGCTGTTCAGGGGTAGAGGGGTGGTATGTCATGTGAGCCCTGTGGTCAGACCATATGGGATCCTCAGGGCCCTTCTGGCTCCAGAAACCTCCAGGGCTGGGGGTCCGAGGCAGCCCGAGAGGCCAGTTTCAAACATAACCTGGAGTGTCTTGGAGACTGACATTACCCCTGCCACCACTGGAGAAGTCCCACTCCTGGAGGTATCTGGGCATCCCTGCCTCCTAGAGTGAAGGGACTTGGAGACCATCTGCTCCAGCTCCATTGTCCATGTGGGGAAACTGAGGCCCACAGAGACAAAGGGACTTATCTAGGGTCACACAGGTCCAGACCTAGAGGCACCCTGGCACCAGCGGTCATGGCATGGAGTCAGAACTCAAAACAGGCTGCAGATCCCAGAGGAAGTGACAACACAGAGGTGGGAGGGGTTCCCCAGGGTTCCCTGTAATGGCTTAGGGTTCACAGGGGCCACCTCTCTCTGTCCTTCCCTCCCTGGCTATGTCCTTCCAGAGTCACTGGCATGATATACCCCAGCTTAACTGTTTTTACAGCTGCTGCAAGTCTTTTAACAGCCTGTTTCCATGCTCGATGCAACACCCAGGTTCACACGTGCATGCACACCTGTGCACACTCCTTGTGCACAGTCACAAACATGCACATACGTGTACAAGTGCATGCACACACAGACATGCTGGGCTCAGTTTCACATACGCACCTTCCAAGGTCCTTGTTCCTCCGGAAAGAACCAGTGAATTTCTGGGGGTTTTGCCACCCCCCCACTGCTGCAAAACCTACTCCCCGCAATTAAAATGTGCCTGGCCTGCCAAGCATTCAGAAGACAAACTTCAGCTCCTGGGCACCGTGGAAACTAGGAGCAGGCTGCCCAAGGAGCAAAGCCCGGCCAGGTTATTCCCATCTCCCCTGAACCTAACAGGCAAGGGTGCAGTCTAGGTGTTCATCTCCAGGCCCACTCCTTATCAGCGCTGGTGGAGACGTTCAGGCCGAAGCCCAGAATATTCACTCTCCCTAGGACACACTGAGGGCCTGCTTCCCGGCCACACCAGGAAGGATGTAGGTGACCACCAGGGAGCACTCCAGCTCAGCCTTTGCACACAGCTCCCCTCCAAAGCCTGGTCCAGGCATGTACGGGATCTATCTCAACACTTGTTTTACTCTGTGTAATTTTCATGCACTCTGCCTCATTCCCCAGAAGGTTTACGGTTCAGTTTTGAGGTACCGTTGCTCACCCTGGCTCACTGCAGTACACACCCTGTGGATTCTTGCCCACTTCCAGAGAGCCTGCCCCTCAGAGGCCAGAGGTCTGAGGAGGTCCATTGTGAGGACCAGGCCCATGCAGTGGGACTGAGGAGGCATTTACCCCACTCCTTCCCATCTCATCCTGGGGAACCCCACACTGTCATGGAGACGATCCCCATGTTCCCTGGGAAAGCAAAGGAGTTTTGTTGGCATTCCTCCTGGGGAGCAAGACATGAGCGGAAGAGGAAGGCAGACCTGGAGAAGTGTTGTAAGCAGAAAACTTAGAGGAAGAAAAAAAAAAAAAGCATAAAATCCAAACGTAAAACAGAACAATATGAGTTCAGTCTGATCTACAGCACATGCAGGGTGAGTGAGTGAGGGTCCAAGACAGGGACCCCCAAAGTTAACCATCGGCACCCCTGAACCAAAATCCAGGCAGAGGGACATGCAGAATGAGCCCAGCCACTCACGTGTAGGACTCAAAATCTCCATTGCTTATGGCTTCAATCAGCTGCTCTGTCACTTTTATAATTTCCTGTTTCCGCACTGCAAGGCAGGAGGGGACAGAGAAATAGTAATAATAATAGTGATGGTCATGAAGCACCAACTACCACTTCCTGAGTCCTTATCATGTGCCAGACCCTGGGCTGGGACCTGAGGACCTTACAGAGATTGTGTCATTTATCGTCGCACCATCCCTGGGATGTAGGTATTATTATCCCCATTTCACAGAAGAAGAAACTGAGATCCAGAAAGATGAAAAAGGTACAAAGTTCCCTCAACTAGAAAAGGTAGAGCCAGTATCTCAGTTGGTAGCCTTTGCCTCCAAAAAGCATACATGGTAGACATTCTGGCTCTAGGCTTGATTTGAACCTAGGCTTTTGACTTCAAAATATGTGTCCCTACCACCTTGCTTTTTTACTGGAATCCAAACAGGAGTGGCATTTGTCACTGGCAGCCATGAACTAGGGGCTCTCCCATGGCCAAAGGGTGTCCTGGGACCACTGACTTACTCATCCCTTGAGTCCAGGTGAGCTTTGGGCTCCATTGGATGCCTGCAGGAATCAGGCACTGAGCTCTCTAGAACATTGTAGACATAATGAATCCAAGTTGCTAAGACCTGACTCTCCTCTGTCTGCCACCAAAACACCACTAGCAACTGGGCTTTCCAGTGCAGGGCTAGATGTCAGGGGACTTGGATTCACACCTTCTTACTAGATGGGTGATATTCTGAGCCCCAGTTTTTCCATCTGTGAAATGGGGACACTACCACCATTGTATTCAGTACAAAATATGCAGTAGAAGGAACCCAGGCTTCAGCACCAGATAGATGTTCATCTAAATTCCAGCCCAAGCCCTTACAAGCTGTGCAGTCGTGGGCCATTAAATGAAGCTTCCTGGTCTGTCAAAGGGGGATAACAGTGTCCTGCTCCCAGGGTTGTCGTAGGGTGGGATGAGATGATGATCACGAAGCACACGGCCCAAAGCCTGGCACACAGTAGGTGCACATCGTTAGTGCTGGAATCGCCTGCACCCTCCCACACAGCTTGCCTCATCTGCTCCTCACAAACACCCTGGGAAGCCAGCAGGTGTGGGTTCCCCCAATTTTACACACAAGGAGACTGGGCCTCAGTGATGAAGGCATTCCAAGCCAGGTGTCCAGGCTCCCAGCAGAGCCTAGCAGAAGCCTCAACTGGTTTCCCAGGGGCAGGCCCTCCTCCCCTCCTCCCCAGCCTCACGCCTAGCTCCAAACCCGGCCAGCCTCCCGGAGCAGTCTCAGGTACGGTAGATCGACACATTGCTCAGGGCATGAGTTCAGTCTGGGCCTCAGCATTTCTCAGTCTGGGAACCAGCGAGGGAGACCAAGCCTGGCTGAGGCCTATACCTGCCCCTTCCCTCACCAGCTGCCCGTGGCCACTCCCTCCACCCCAGGGGGCTCACTTCAGGCCCAGAAGACACAGAATCAGAAAGCATCAAGGCTAGAAGAACACTTGAAGATCAGAAACTCCAGACCCCTTATCAGACCGGTGGGGAAACTGAGGCCCAGTGAGAGTTGTGACTTGCCCAAGGACACAGAATGTATCAGGTGTAGATCCTAGCTGCCAGCCCAGGGCCCTTCCCACAGGATCCTGGCACCCCCACATGCTCCCTGTCATGGCACATACCCCATATTTTTGTTTGGGACCATATACTTGCATTGCTCCCCAACTCAAATATAAGCTCCAGGAGGCTGGCCCGTAGCTGCCCTTGCCCTGCTGTATCCCTGGAGCTTAGTAAAGTCCTGGCCCCCAAAAGCATTCATTATTGAATGAAATGAATGAGTGTGCCTGGCATTGTGCTGTGTGTTTATTCTACGAAACCTGAAAGCCTCACAGCAAAACTTCACTGTGGTTATCACTTCCACATCACAGATGAGCACACCAAAGGGGAGAGGGGTTAAATAATTTGCTCCAGGGGAGCTGGGACTCAACCAGCATTTGCAGCTCCAAAGCCCCTCAGACTCTTCTCCACACCACGTGTCTCTCAGGGCAGAAGCCCCCATAACCAGCACGGCACTTGGTACATGATGAGTTCTCAGCAGATGTAGCGATGATCATCTTCATCAGTGAATAATCAGAGTCCCTTGGTGGTGCAAATGGTTAACGTACTCAGCTGCTAACCGAAAGGCTGGAAGTTTGAGTGCACTCAGAGGCACCTCAGAAGAAAGCTCTGGAGATCTACTTCTGAAAAATCAGCCATTGCAAACCTTACAGAGCACAGTTCTACTCTGACACACGTGGGTCATCCTGAGTCAGAATGAATTCAACAGCAACTAGTTTTCTCTCGTGGTTCCTATCAGAATCTCCTGAGCTGAGAATGAGTCCATCTTTAGCCTATGAGCTCCACAGGGTCACACAGGGTGATTTCATATCTATCTTTGGGGCCCTGCCTGGAGATGGGACAAAGGTGGCACTCAACTCATATGTGCTGAGTGGATGGATGGATAGATGGATGGATGAATAAATGGATGGATAGATGACTCCAATCCAGTCTGGGGCTGCTATCTTTGCCCTGTTTCCTGGAATTGCTCAAGTTGCCTGGTAGCCTCTGCCCCTAGTCACTGCAGAGAACCTGGCCCGCTGCTCAACCTTGCCTTCCTTCATGGGAGGCAGAGGCTAAGGATGGGAAGAAACACATAAAAATTAGTCCAAGGATCATCCTTCTCCTTACGCCTGCCAGAAGCCACCTCATTCCAGCTGCTCCCACGTAGAATCAGGGGTGATGGCCCAGAGCAAATCCACAAGCTACTGGCAGGTGGGACCTGTGCCACCTCAAGTGCCTTCTCACCATGGACCTTAAGAACCCTTCCAGCTTGACATTCCATGAGCCTGTGCTTAATAAAGTTTAGCAAAGCAGTCAAGGGATTCTGGAGCCAGTCTCCCTGGGTTTGGATCCTGGCTCTGTGTGACCTTGGGCAAGGTATTCCCTGTGCCTCAGTTTCTCCATATGTATAATGGAGATACTAGAAATACTTACCAATCATAGGGTTGTTTGAGCGTTGAGTTTAGAATATATCAGTAGAAATAGCTAACACATATATGGTCCTCACCAAGAACCAGGTATTGCTCCGAGCCCTTTATAGCAACACACTTATGTAAATAATGATGCATTATGTAAAGCAATTACAGCAGTGTCTGGCACTCCATAAATGAGAGCTGTGATTATTATCGTGTGGAAATCTCTGTGAGCCAGCAGAGGTCTCCAGCCTGCAGCCTTACCCACGCATTTGGGACTTGCCAGCCCCCACAACTGAAGAGCCATTTTCTCACAATTGCGTGAGCCATTTTCTTGAAGTAAATTTCTCTTTCTGTATTTGTATATATGTTTCACTGGTTTTGCTCATCTAGAGAACCCACACTAAGATACGTAGTGACTCAGTCTTGGCTGCAACCTTGGGGCTTATGGCCTGTTGGGCAGTTCACTGCACTGTTGGATGTTGTTGTCGTTAGCTGCCATCAAGTCAGCCCCCGACTCACGGTAACCCCATACACAACTGAACAAAATACTGACTGGTCCTGCACCATCGCCATGATTGGTTTCGGATTGGACTACTGTGATCTATAGGGTTTTCATTTTCAGAAGTAGATCACCAGTTCTTTCTTGCCAGTCCATCTTAGTCTAGAAGCTCTGCTGAAACTTGTTCAGTATCATAGCAACATGGAAGTCCCCACTGACAGATGGGTGGTGGCTGCACTTGAGGTACACTGGCTGGGAACTGAACCCAGGTATCTCACATGGAAGGTGAGAATTCTGCCACTGAACCACCACTGCCCATGCGCTGTTGGATAACTCTTGCCAATTGAGCCTTCTTCTTCCTTCAAGTTGAAATCTGTCCCCATGAAAGCTCCCGGTTACAGCTCTGGTCCTCATCTTGCCCTCCAGGCTGCTGTGCCTCCTCCCCCAGCCTCCATGCCATCCTCCAACCAGTCTTCTCATTCTCTAGGATGTCATTTCCAGACTCTGACTCAAGGACCCTCTTCGAGGTCCTTGAGCTCTCTGGTTGCCTGAGTATGGGCACACCACCTCAGGTCTGACCTGGATATTGCAGCAGAATATCAGTTCTGTGGTGACACTCTATCCTCTCCTCAATTCTGGACACTATACCTCTATTAATGCAGCCTGAGATGGTACTAAGACAGTAAAAATACATTATCCTAAAGAATAATTTCCTATTAGGGTGAAGTCAACATTCTGAGTCCCACAAGTATGCCCAACTAACCACATTCCTGACCTTGTCCCTGTGGATTCCAACTCCATCGGTCTGTGCCTCCAGCCACTCAAGAAGACAATGCCTGGTGGGCAGGAATTCCCCAAACTCTCCCTAGATCCTGGGACAGAAGATCTGGAGGCCCGGTGCTCCTCAGATTTGGAGGAAGCTGCTCTGGTCTGGGCCTGTCCCATGGCCTCAGCAGCCCCAGGTCTATGTGAGGGGTTCATCCAGAAGCTGCTTGGTAGCAACCTCTGGGCTTGCTCATCTGCCAGGTGTTCTTTCAGACAACCCAGAAGTGCTGCCTACAGATGGGAAAGCAGAGGCCCCAGAGAGGTTAAGGCACTCTTTCAAGGTCACACAGCATGCCAAGCCCAGCATGGGATCAGAATTCCTGGTTGATACTTCCCAGGATATCTCTGTCCAGAGTCTGAGGTGGCTCTTTGGGCTGAAGAGGAAATTAATTTTTCATGGTCAGGTCAGGAGGAGGTAGGGAGTAAGGAAGAAGCCTGGCAGAGTGCTGGGCATCTCATTAGAGGGTGAGAGCTCTGTGCATTAAGCCTGAGGCGCTCTGAAATATTAATGTCCCTTTCTTTGCTTGGGGGAAAATGTTCCCTGGAAGATGACATTTCTAATTAACTTTAATGTTAGGTCAGAGTCCATCCCACCAGCTGCTATTCTCACTTAGTATGAAGACTTAACAAGTTAACACCAGTAAATGGTTCTCTGGAAACTTTCTCTCAGGCCTGGAGAGGCTGGGGGAGGCACAAAGATCTCTCCTGCCAAGCTCAGGGAGGAGTTCCTGGCTGAGTAGGCATCTCTTTCATTAGACCTGGCCTCTGGGGCTTTTTGTTGCTGCAGTTACTTGCCGTCGCGTAGAATCCCACTCACAGAGACCTCATGTGACAGAGTAGAACTGCCCCATAGGGTTTTCTAGGCTGTATTCTTACAGGACCAAATCTCCAGGTCTTTCTTCCATAGATCTGCTTGGTGGGTTCAAACTGCCAGCCTTTCAGTTAGCAACTAAGCAGCTAACCATTTGCACCAACAAGGCTCCTTCCTGGGACTTTTTACGGGTAGGGAAACTAAGGCAGGGAACACAGTCCCAGTTCTGCCATTAATAACTTGGGCTTGGCCTTTCTCCTCTCTGGGCCTCAGATTACTCTCTGTAAAAGGGGCATGTTGTTGTTGGGTGCCATCGAGTCCATTCCAACTTGTAGCTACCCTATGTGACAGAGTAGAACTGCCCTATAGAGTTTTCTAGGCTGTAACCTTTAAGGGAGCAGATTGCCATGTCTGTCTCCCACAGAGCTGCTGGGTGAGTTCGAACCACCAACTTTTCAGTTAGCAGCTGAGTGCTTAATCATTGTGCCAAAAGGGGCATAGATGAACTAAAATGCAATGCTTTGCAAATTTTTCCTTCCAGATCCCTCTAAAGCAGAAGATAATGATTGCAAATGCTGCGGCCTCACGGACACAGCCAAAATCCATTACCCCCAGTGGAAACTATCTCTGACGTTTCATAATTTGCATTAAGAACATATATAAATTTTGGTGCACTGGTTAAGAGCTCAGCTGCTAACCAAAAGGCTGGCAGTTTGAATCCATCAGTCACTCCTTGGATGCCCTATGGGGCAGCTCTCCTCTGTCCTATAGGGTGGCTACAAGTCGGAATCGACTCAATGGCAACGGGTATTCCGTAATATCTCCCTGTTTGTTTAACATATAAATTATTATCTTAAAATAATCTTTGAGTAAAACTGATGCTCAAAGAGGATGCCATGTGGCTTCCTGTCATCCAACCACAAACTCCAGTTTGAAAAAGAGAAATGAAGATTTATTAAGCAATTACCATGTGCCAAACAGTGTGTGAGCACTTTGTACGCATCCTCTCATTTCATTTGCACAGTTATCCTGAGGTTGGTACTTTATTATCACCTCTTCACTGTTAAGGAAATGGAGGCTCAGAGAGGTTGAGTCACTTGTCCAAGGTCACCCCACAAATGGACTCCAATGGGGAGACACAAAGCCAGATCACCTCCGCAGTTCTTATCTGCTCAAAGACTAGGATTCTGAAGCCATGCCAAGTCTCCTCAGAACCCCAGCATCCAACTCTTACCCCTGGGGCAGCGAGCCTTAAATATGGGGAACATCTTAGAAATGCCATGTCTTGGTTCATTACAGACCTATGGAGTTAGGATCCACAGGGGCAGCGCCAGGAATGTGGTTAGCAGATTATACTTGTGGGACTCAGAATGCTGACTTGACCCTAATAGGACATTCTTCTTCATGATAATGTTTTTTTTTTTTTTTTTAATGTTTTATGTATTTTTGGTGGCAATTTACACAATCCAACATACATCCATTCACAGTTTCTACTTGAACAGTTCAATGACATTGGTTACATATTTCACATTGTGTAACCATTCTCACTATCTTTACCCCTATTGTTGCAGCCCCATTAATTAGGTTCTCTGCCCCTGCAAGTTCTCATCTGTGCTTTAGATGAACTATTGTCAGTTTAAACTCACATGTTGTTGCTAGGTGCCATTGAGTCGATTCCGACTCATAGGGACCCTATGTACAACAGAACAAAACACTGCCCAGTCTTGCGCCATCCTCACAATTGTTGTTATGCTTGAGCCCATTGTTGCAGCCACTGTGTCCTTCCATCTCATTGAGAGTCTTCCTTTTTTTTGCTGACCCTCTACTCTACCAAGCATGATGTCTTTCTCCAGGGACTGGTCCCTCCTGATAGCATGTACAACATATGTGAGTCTTGCCATCCTTGCATCTAAGGAGCATTCTGGCTGTACTTCTTTCAAGACAGGTATGTTCATTCTTCTGACACTCCGTGGTATACTCAATATTCTTTGCCAACACCATAATTCAAAAGCATCTGTTCTACTTTGGTCTTCCTTATTCAAGGCACAGCTTTCATATACATATGAGGC